TTTTGCCCTTAAGCTTCAACCCTGTGGAAATACAGAATATAACTGTGGTTTTGTTACAAACTTTAAGGGATGGTAGAGGTGATCAATATAAACAATTTTTATATAGGAATTTATGTCTGGAAACGTTCCGTTTGGGAGTTACAAACCTTAATATGTGTAAAGCTAGATTGCTTTCTGTAATATTGATAAACTACAGCTTTACTTTTGGAAATGATTAAGGGATATAGTAAGTCATGTTGTTTGCTTTCACGTAGATCCTGATGTTGTCATGATGATGTTTGTAAACACCATAATCATATGAAAACAGAATCTTGTTTACAGCCAGCTGACATCGAACTCTAAGCCAGTATACTTTGAACATTTGCTGTAATATGTGCTGATAGCAATTATTGAATTGTAATAAGCTAATTAGTCAAAAGTTCATGTTATTATTTTGAATTATTACGTAAACGTTTTCGAACATAGATTCTTATATGAAAATTATTCATACTGATCACCTCTACCGTCCCTCAAAGTTTGTAACAAAGTCATTATATTCTGTAGACTCCGTCCAGGTATTCCTACATTCATGCCTGCGGTTGAACGACGACAGATGCATCGACACGATCATAGTGTTTCCTCCTTTTTTCCGTTCTTTCCGCGCACTGTGGTCAGTATTTTTCTGGGAGTCTGTAAAATGAGAAAGAAATCTGCATTGTTCCCTCTCACATCTCGTCGGCAGTGGCCGACGTGCTCTCCGAAAGTGGCTACAAAGTTCAGACGTAATTTGTTCGTCAAAGTTTCGCTCCATATAAACCAGCCCTTCCGTCGGTTCTCTTCTCACGGTCTCACAGAAAAGAGGACTGTAAATAATTAAACCGAGCATAAAACTCGGCCCGGCGGTAACTCCGTGCGAGGCTGCGCCCGACCGATGCGGAAAAAAGTGCATGAAGTTCCGGAGGGCAGAGCGACGATCTCTAGCGGAGGCAGTCCGCGCTCGTTAAAACGGCACGACGGGCCGCGACCCCGTGGATCTCCCCGCCGCTCTTTACTCGCTTTTTCCCTCTGTCGCTGCCGTTTATTGCGCGCAACAGCGTTGATAGTGCGCGAAAACAATCCTTTTGAGCGGCCGGCAAAACATTCCGCTTGTCGATAGATGTTACGCGGCTGCGACGAGCTGCGCGCGCGAGCGCGCGTTACGCGAATTCGGCGTCGTTGCACCCGGACAAAAAACATCCGAAAGCTTTTGCGCGATATTTGCCGGAGCTCTAATTGCCTTAAAGGTTTACATGGTTTCGCGTCTCTCCTGCTCGAGATAGGAAAGATTGACAATTTTTAACCTAGGTTTCGCAGTTAACTTTGAAGAGCACTCGTTTTCCGCGCGATGTCGCGCTTTTCTGCTGACAGTATGTGTGTCCGTTCACTTTAGCTTCTATTTCATTCGAGAATTAATTTTCTTTTTTGGTTATCGGTTGCACGCGCCGCGCTTAGTATTTATAGGGTGTCTGACGGTGAATGGGAAAAAGCTCGTGCACATGTAGATCAGGCCAAACTGAACACAAATTCCTCTACCATTTTGCGACCACGTAAAATTTTGAGTTATTAATTAAAGATGATGCATGATCGTACCATTCGTGTTTATACATTAAGTTAAACTGAACAAAAGAGTTTTCTACTATTTTGCAGATAACCTCGTAGATTTTTCAACTATTAATTAAAACATATTCGGCAATCTCTCGCACGCAATCATTTGCCAGTCTTCCTTAATTAATAATTTAAAAATCTATGTGCTCATTTGTAAAATAATATACTGAAAGAAAAAAATATCTGAGAAATAAAAACATTTATTTGGTAGATACTGATAACATATTTGCTTATACTAACATCAGGGTTGAGTAATAGCTTGAGTTAATTAGTTAAGTTAAAGCGTTAAAAGTTTTAACAAGTTAATAACTGAATTTAATTAAATTTTAAACGAGTCAACTTTTAATTTTTTACTCTAGTTATTTTAAAATGTATTAATTTTAATTTATTAACTTTTTATAAGTTAGAATAATCTCCTCACCGATATTTAATTTACTGCAAATTGCTAACAATGTAGAATAAAAAAAATAAAAAATAATGACAGAAGAATTTTTTTTTGAGCACCAGTGTTCTTTTTTTGTATGGAAAGACTTCTCGTTAGTAATTCACAAATTTAATTTATAATTAGAACATTAATTATGCAAAAACATATTTTCAATTGTGTCAGATTTTGTTGATCTAACTTTCAACGTAAGCTAAATTAATTTGAGTATATATTTTCTTAAAGAAGAAAGTATATATTTTCTTAAAATCATAACTTCTTATGAAAGCAATTGTTTATTTAAACAAATCTACATTTAGATTTTAGTAAATATGTTATTAGCACCTACCGAATAAATAGTTTTTATTTTTTAAATATTTTTCTCTTAGTGTAGAAGATTTTTTGTCTAGTTCAAGCTAATGTACCAAAACATAACGGTTATCATACCTATCGTTATATTCTGTATCGTATAGCACGCGATTATTAACCATATCCTCTTTCATTAATAATTCAAAATTGTACGTGGTTGCTTGCAAAGTGGTAGAGGAATTTTAATCTAATTTACACTACATACATGTTTCCTCACTTATCGTCAAACACTTTATATATTCTATAGCAATGAATTTCGAGGGTGCAACATTTTTACACTTAACGCATCTATTTTTAATATGTCAGAAAAAGAAGATATCATTATGATGTCTTAGGTTCCCATAAAAAGCTTTCTCCAAGCGAGAAGTTTAAAAATCGACGCTCGAGCGAGTACCATGGTACCTTTTTTCATTTCAGCCATCCATCCCGAAAACTATGATCGTCTATTCCAAAGTCACCCCATTATTTCACCGTGTGTTTCCCAGTCCGCAGATGTGACAAAGTTACATTTTCCCTCTCTCTCTATGTTCGACCCGCTCCGAAATCTATTAAAGAAATCGTCGGTCGACACATCGCAATCCTCGTAAGTCGTTTCACGCGTCGTTCGCTCGCACCTGCTCGCGCGTGGGAGAGTGAAAGAGCAGCGAACGGTGTGATTCACCTGACAGACGCGAATGCGACACGGGGCGGCCGGTGCAAACGACTGCATCTCGCGGCGATAACCGCGTGCGAGTCTCTTGTCCACGTCCCGCCAACGTTCCGCGCCAACGTCGCATTCCCCGCGCCTTCCATTTTTTATGACACTCGAGCCCGCCAGAGCCGTGCACCGCAGAGCGTGGCCGGGACCGGCCTCGGGGGCGAACGAGTGCGCGAGAGGTCGCTGGTATTTCCAATTTCACAGAGCGTGGGTTAACGAGACCCGAGGGGTGGAGAGAAGTTAGGGCAACCACCCTCCGTAACTTGCCCTCCCGCCAAAAACTGACGCCGACGTCAGGCACCATCGCCCCGCACTCCCGTCCCCGTCGCCGTTCGCGACGCACCCCTTTAAAACGCGGATACCTCGTATACGCCGCGGCGGAGGTTCCGGCACATTACCTTCGCTGATTACCGCGCCCGCCCCCGCGTAGACTATGTCAGCCAGCCGCCCCCGAGACACATACCTTTACGGGATACGGCGACCCTTTTGCAGGTACGATCTGGCCGCGTCTGCCGAGATAGGTATCGCCCGTGAAAGTCGACGTGAGTGTGAGTCTCTTCTCGAGATACTACCGTGTTAGCTCCTGCTACGGTCGCTCGGTATATTCGCACATTTGCACAGAGTATAAACTGTGGTGGCAATAACGCGTGTAACGCGTCCTTGTATAATCGTGAAGTGGTGTAATGAGCGACTGATGAAGCAGGAAGAGATATCGCTACAAATAAATTTAATATTGATTCGTATAATAAATAATTTTAGAATTTTTCAGGTATTGAAATGAAGACTATTTTTATGACCTTGCAATTTTATGGAGTAATGTATGCATAGGGTAGCAGAAGATCATAGATCAAAACGGTGCATACATTATTTAATAAAATGATAACGTCATAAAAAAGTGCAGATATTTTTTCATTTTATCTGAAAAATATCTGGAATTACTATATAATTTCCGATAAGGAGAATAAGGAGAATAAGCATATTATTTAAGTGATTGGGATTGTCTTTATACTTGTTTATTTATACCCCCTCCCGTAAAAGTGTTAAAATAAAAATTTATAAAAAATAGTAAATATACACACGCTTTTAAACCAGCAGAATAGAATTATGTATAGAAATAATGGTAAATATTCAAACATTTTATCGTAGATATAAAAAAAACGCGATAAAAACGTGATGAAAACGTGAATTTACATAAAAATTTATAACTTTTTTAAAAATGAGTTTAAAAAATCAACACTCAGAATTTTCTTGTGAATATCTGAATCTTTAAGAAAAGTAATATTAGATATTTGTTAAAAAATATAATTATTTGAATATACAAAAATACATAATTTTTTCAGTCAAGAGAAACAAGTAAAATCATTAATAAATTCCTGCAGTATTAATCTATTTTATAATGCGGATTTTATTAAAATCATTAAAAAATTTAGTTATATCTGAATCTTTTATTTTGTTCATGATTAGATTTTGATAGTATAGAAACCTTGATCACGTATAATACCAAAAATAAATAAGCTATTACATAAAACTTTTCTTATATATTATATTTGACGTAAAAGAACCCACACAAACATAAAGAAAAATTATCTTTATTTAGCACATACTCGAGTCAAAAACGATTTCGTAGCAACTTAACTTTTTCGTTACATTACAGGCAATTAACAGACTCAACTGTGTTTAAACTTCATATCCCCCAACTATAACTTTCTTTAGCACGTGAACCGTGAATCCTTGTCCCACTAGTTTGTGGCTAATTCAGAATTAATTGGCCCCAGTGTGCCAGATTAGACTTGACTACCAATCGTTCGATTGGTCGCTATTAATCATCTAATCAGCGATGCTATGACGCGCGATGTGACGATATACTAAACGCGAACGTTTCTATTGCAGGGCAGCGCAGAAACTGAATCTGTCGTCGAGCCCGCATCGGAGACGACGTTCCGGGGATGAGAACATCGGACCTGACGAGCTGCCCATTTTTCCCAATGGATACGCTGCGCTCCTTCTCAAGTCACCACCTCCGGCACCTCCCGCCCTTCTCAGGAGGATAGGTGTAAAGGAGCTCACCGGGGTTGGCAAGGTAAGCTCCCATCGATATCGTAGTAAACGGCGAAGTTTCGGTCTCTCGCTAGTTCGGAAAGTATCCTACCATGAATTTCACCAGCTCATCGCTTCCATCACAGCGGCGGTGGAATCAGCATGGACATTTCTCATTCAGATTTGACCTCGCGTATGCGACATGATTTTTTGCGTTGCTTCCTGTGAAATAATGAACGATTAAACTCTATACTGTACTAGATGTACTCGGCAACTTTGGACGAGATTGTCAGGCGAATAATGCAGAACTGTTTCTTGCCTTTTCGCAAATTTTCGGTGTAGCGGGCAGAAACCCCATGTGCGGAATTAGTTGGTCAAAATCAGCGGATGAAGCGGATCTGAAAGCCGACTTTCCCGCGGTCAGCGCGCGAGCGTAGACGAAGTCGCTTTTCCGTACGAATTAATCAATCGAACGCGCTAGAACCTAGGGCGAATACACTCTCGCATGGGTAAATGGCGTCTGGTTCTCGATAGGATTTCCGCGTAGTTTAATCTGGACAGAAGAGAGCCCGCGGTAGACCTTCGTCCAGCCGTCCGTCCGACTCGAAAGCACGGTCGACTTCCGCTCGTTTCGTTCGCGCGACGCTCCCCGTTAATCCGCGGCCGTTCAATCCCGCTACGGATAAGAACGCGGGGCCCCCCGCGCCGCGGCTATTCAACGGAATTCCCGTCTTGTGTGCACGCTATCCTCCCGTCGCGTGTATGCGGACGAAAATAATCACGCATGCACGAGTGATGCGCCTTTGATATACGCGAGCGTACATGCAGCCCTTTCGCGTTGATCGGGGCTGGAAATATACGTGACAGATGCACACGGTGCATTGGGAATAACGTTGGCCGAGAGTTTCCTCTTCAAACTCTTTCTCCAAACAGCGTATTGAAAATCTATCTTGTCCATACAGACGTAGTAGATATGCAGCGCGAGAAATCAGCAAGAATGAAGTAATTGCTAGGACGTTAACCGATACACAAACGCGACGTCCAGGTTTATTTGCGTCTAAACTGATTCGATAAGTTTTACTGATAGATAAGTTGTGGTGTTACATGATGCTACGCGATAAGAAGACATTTTGTGTTGAAATCGATTGGTGTAGAAATTTTTGTGCTGATATTTTAATATATCCGTGTGTCAATTAGACATAATGTGTCATTTTGATTATTCTGCGTTGAATTTGTATTCATCATTCCCATGTGTCAAAATAACAAAATTTATATGTAGCATTTATGGTGACATATTCTATACGTAAGGTGTACGCAGATAAATTGTGTTTTTGTTAACATACTTGCCTGGTGTTAAATCAACGCAAAAATTAGAATGCATAAATTGGAACACGCGAAACGTGTTAAATTTAACACAAAATTTGTCGCAATATACAGATAAATAATTTCTGAAAGTAATATCTCTGTAAATGATAATTTTCAGAAAGTGTTCAAATTTTTCTTGTGTCAATTTTATAATTTTATAAGCATCCGTTAATTTAGTTATTATTTGATATTATTTGTTGGGCCGAGAACACTTTTTGAGATAGAACAGGTGCGAGAGTTGAAACTGCGATTAGACTACTGGCAGAACAGGTTGTTCTAAAAGCCTACTTCAGTATGAAAATGGAGGCGACGATAAATGACATCTCTTTGTATCTACAGCGAGGAGAACAGCATGCCACTGTTCTGTTGCTTGTAAAAAGTATGTTTTAAAATCGCAGTTTCGTAAAACTCGAAGATCTTCAAAAAATAAAATCAAGTAATCTACGTAGTAGATCTTTTACTTATACGATCTTAGTCGCCTCTAATAAGAGACTGAAATTACAGTTTTAATCTTAAATAAATATAGGGGTGGCAAAATGAATTGTTGATCTAAATGGCTTTTGGATCAGTATCTTGATCCATTCGCTTTTATCACTCTCTACTACTTTCTTTCTCTCTCTACTACTACTAATATTATTTATTATTTTTTATTACATACTGAGAGAGCTAAGATTATCGTGTGTTCTTTCTTGAAAGATATCAAGTATCCGTATTTAACTTGTTCTATAGATAAATAGTCTACATGCAAATCGCAGTGATATAATCGTGAATGAAACTTGCAAAGTGACTCATTATGGCAACATATGCCATTTATCTGATTTCTTTGATTTTTACATCGCGCGCGATTGCCCGATCGTTCGTTTCTGAGCGACGATTCTGTACACGTTTGGTTCCGCACTCGCGAAAAAGGATGCTCGTGCGCGCGCGCATACAAATCTTTGCGCGAGCGTGCGATTTGAAATGCAGATGAGCGTCTCGCGGCGCTATAAGCCGCCGGGGTGCCGCTTCCACCCCTCGCCCATCCGAAACTACAACCCCTTCGCCGTTTCCATTCTGCGTTCAGAGTCGGTCGGCGAGTGAGTGAGTGAGTGAGTGAGTAAGAGAGAAGGAGAAAGAGAAGAGGAAGGGGGAGCGGGTGTCGAATATCCGGTTTAAACTATCAAACTGGATATCCGCAACGGAAGCTCTCGGAAGCGGTCCCAAGTTCGCCAAACGCGCTTGAACGCGAATCGAGATGGCGAAGATAGAGATTGGGTGGAGCGAACCGGGCTATTCGAGAGATCTCTCGACTTTCAATCGCGCTGGCAGACTTGCGCCGATATCAGTGCTGCAACTACGTCTCGGATGTCCCTAGGCACTTTATCTGCACACAATCCATCCCTACAAACCGGTATATTTAGCGCCATGATACAAGAGATTTAATCCACGACCAATCGATCCCTGACTGAATAGAGAATGCATCTTGATGAGGTTTTATGTTCTTTTTTAGAAAGAAATTTTTAGAAGAGATAAATATGCGTTAATTGTACAATTGATTGTATCGTAGCTCGAAAACAGAACGTTACATGAGGGCTGCTACAAGAAAGATAAGACTGATGCACAAAGACGCCTTTCCACAAATCAAGATAGAAAACCATGATTGATCAACGGAAAGCACTAATGAATAGTCATTTGTTTTCAAAAATCAAGGAAACAGATTTATCGCGGTATTGCTTCCTAGAGATGTTTCTTATTTCTAAAGGCATCACTTTAATTCGTAAAAAGGTGTGCCAAATTTCTTGTACAAAAAATATCATTACACTTTTGACAGACGTCGAATTTTCCACAATAAAATACCTAATTATGGATACATACGTACGCTGAACTCTTAGTGTGATAAAAAAAACGATAAATAAATTAATGAGTAATTATACATAATGAGTAATTATATAAAAACAATTATAAAACTAATAAAAAAGTTGGGCATTTTATACAAAACTTGAATTAACTTGTTGTTTGCAAAAACGTCATTTTCAGACATTTCTGCGAGACTTTCATTCCCTTCCCCTCAAGCGTGTGTGAAGTTATTACAATATTGCATTATGAGAAGTTACGAAGTAACTAAGAGTAGACAAATTTCGACAAGGCTGTGCTGTCATGTGTACGTTATATGCAGGTTAACTTAATTTTCAATCTTGTTGTACGCGGTGAATCATGAGAGACGATATTTAATTGTATGCCTTTTGTGTCAAGCCTGAGCACGAGTGGCGAAGCGTGCGAGACGGGTGGTTTGATCAGTGTGTTGATGAAGATGAAGTCGGATGCGAAACGAACCGAGCTTGCCGTATAATCTCCAGAGTGTACGAACGCGGAACGCTTAAATATTTGCGCGAGAGATAATGTCGAGGATCATGCGGCGACCAAGCGATTTGGCCGGTCTGAGCGCAACTGTCCGTATCTCCTGGCGCGGAAGTCGCGTCCTGCAAACGCGGGGACGCGATGTGATGAAGAGTAAATTTCTCCGCGGTGCTTAATTATGATCGAGTTATACGGGATGTTTCATGAGGTGCGCGTCAAACTTCGAAAGCGCCTTTACAAACTCGAAGTCGGCTCTTCTTTCGCAAAAAGTTGAAGCAAAGCGTAACCGAGTTACTCGAAGATTGAAAAGAAATTTCGGCTAATTCCTTTAATCTTTAATAAAACGGATATACCAAATCATATTTTTCACTTTCCGACACGTAGGAGAGATCTAATAATAATAATAAGATGGTACACTCGTTCGCGAGATGGTTTTTATGCTTCTTGTCTGAAGTCACAATGTTTTAAATTGTCAGAACTGAAAGCCATTGCTGATGTGTATGCACCGTAATCGGTTGTGACAGGAGCCGAAGTTATAATACAGAGTGTAATATTTGTAAAAGTTAGAGGGAAAAATTTGTTTTCAATTAAGAGAACGTTATTTTGAGAAGTAATTTTTATATATTTATAAATATGCATAAAACATGTCAGAGCAGTGGCTTTCAATTCTGATAACTTGAGAGGTTGCAACTTCATTCGATAAAGAGTGTGAAAACAATTTGCAAACGTGTACACTCTTCAGAATTTTGAACTTACAACTCCTCAGACCGCTAATTATTGTGATCGACTGTACACACTGTACAGTTATGGATACTCAAACATTTACTACATCGAGGGTTATACGATTTTCAGCCTTATACATAATACTTAAAAGATTGAAAATCGCATAAGTAACTCTGATTATAAGATAGGATTATAATGACGTTAATTATAACCATTTTAATTATAACGATTTTAATCTCATTCGTAAACGCATAAAGCCGAAAATTCTGGATCTAGGGATTCTCTCGATCTAGGGATCTTCCAAGTATCCATGACATCGTGTATACATACATAATAGAGGCAACCTTCCTTTATGTTTTTATATCATCAACGATCTTATAAACCGGATATTTTGTTTGATAATAATCGAAATATAAACAACGTAACCGTTTTATTCTGATCAAGTTGCCTAGCAACTTAGGGTAATGTAGGATTCACATTGCGTTCACATCCGACGTCAGACATTCGATATCCAATAGCAGAATTAGTTTTCTGGAGACAGAAATGTCACTAGTTAGAAACTCCATGAAACAAACTCTATTGGATATCGAATCGTCATACGTCGGATGATGGGCGCAG